AACATCAGGAAGAGATAGTTAAAATTTCTGTGGCACATAATGAGGAAAGAGGGCTTAGAATATTTGATATTCACAGGACAGATTGAAGGTAAGTGTGCGCAAGTTAGTGTGAATTGATGGTGGAGCAGGATTTGGGAGAGATGGCAAAAAGACAAAAGTTATTAAGAGCTGCAAAAGACAGGAAATTGTAGAGAGCCATGATTGCCAATATCCTGAAGGGAAACTGCACATAGAAGAAAAAGAAGAAAGGATCCATTAAGAGAAGGGTGGAAGTTACAAAGGCCACTTCAGTATGAGTTGACATTCCCTAACTCTCTTGTTTCTATTCCTAACAACATTAACATTTCTACCACCTGATAATGATAATGTGATTATTATTATTATTATTATTATTATCATCATCTCTAAGGTCAAATTATGATGCTATTCAAAGCAATGCTTTTCTGTCTTTTTTTAAAATGCCATATCCCTTCAAGATGTAAGCAATCATGACTACATATTTCTTTTCTTTATTATCTGTGAATTGCTATGCATTCTTTGAAAAAATTGTGGGGTAGTTTCCAATTGTTTTCTTTATGGTTTGGAAATCAGAGATTTCTTTCTGTTAGACTGGTTTCCACCCAAGGTTAGACAGCCCAATCTATTCTGCTATTTAAACCATAGCTGGGGGTGACGGAGAAGACAGATTCATGCCTAATACAAACTATAGTTTGAAAGTGAATACAAGAGACTAAGCCTGGAATTTTAATTTATTACTAAGCTTTTTTTTTGTCATAGCATTATAGCTTCTTCTCAGTCATTGCTATAGTAGGGAGTTTGATCTTTATAAGATGCTCTATGCTTGTAGCCTTGTGTCAGACAAAGTTAAATATTTTTTTCTCAACCAACAACTTGTAGCTTCTTTTGTACAGATCAGAATTTCTTACTTATAAAGTAATTTCAGCTTATCTGTGGGGTGGAGTGTTTGAAAACCCCTCCCCCATCAGATGCCTGAAACTATGACCAGTACTAAATCTAATGAAGGGATGCTGAAAAGTTCTTAGTCCAAAAAAGAAGAGTTTTTTAAAAATAATTCTTACATTCAGCTATTTGATCAGATTTTGGCAAGAGGGGCAATTTGAGAGCTTTTCAGCACCTTACCAATTCCATGTTCTATGCTATGCTGATATGCATTATACTACCTGTGTATCCTAACCATAATCGACCAATGTTAATTAAATGATGATAATTGAGTAATTGAATGTCAGGATGGAAAAATTCCTGAAGAAGTCATTCTAGAGACTGAAATATGTTCTTTAGAATATTTAATTTTGTTGTTCAATTACTCAACATTGTTCTGATATTTTTTTTTTTTTTTTTAAGCGTTTCACCCCAAGCAAGGCGGGAAGCCACTAGGACGCAAGGGGTTACAGAAGATTTGGAGCAAGATCAGATAGGAGTGATAGAGGAAAGGATGAGGAGAAGGATAGTGGATAGATCAAGGCAACTGGAGATATCGATTGACATTACATTTGAATAGTTGGAGATTATAGTTCTCAGGGAAAATGGAATAGGGAAGGGAGTTCCACAGGTGAGAGGTGTGATATATGAAGCTATTGAAGTAGAAGCTACATTTAATAGTTTCGACAGTGAAAGGGTGAGAGTGTGATGCCAGCCTCATAGGGCACTTGAATTCATGAAGTCTGGGAACCAGCGAATGCAGCTCCTCAGAGCAATTGCCATGAAAGTATTTGTAAAACAGACAGAGAGAGGCGATGACGCATCTGTGAGAGAGCGACTGTAGACGAGATGCCAGAACAGGGCCAATTATATTGCATATCCGCCTCTGGATCTTATCAAGAACCCCGAGGCAAACAGAAGGGGCTCCAGACCATATATGGCAGCAGTACTACATGCAAGGGCGAATTGTTGATTTGTAGATCTGAAGGATCGATTCCAGGAAGAAAAATTTCCTGGCGCAGCACAGGGATCCAATTTTCCTTGCTGTGGACGAAGCAATTTACTCAATGTATTTGTTCCATCTCAGGTCAGCAATCAACGTGAGACCGAGCAATCGCAGAGAGGTGCTCTCGAGAAACTGAGCATCAGACATTCTAATGGAGGGCAGGGAAGGATCTCTATGGTGATTAATAGAGAGCAGTTTTGTTTCTGAGACATTAAAGTTGACCAGCCAATTCTTGCCCCAGTTCACAACCGATTGGAGGTCTTTTTCGAGACGCATGGCCAGGTTAGTTTTGTCAGTGACACTAGATTTGTTTTTGAGGCAGGAATAAATTGTGGTGTCATCCACGTAGATGCCAACTTGGAAATCTATGGTTTCAGGAAGGTCATTTATGAAGATAAGGAATAGAGTAGGGCCCAGGATGGAGCCTTGAGGAACACCTGCATTCGTGGGATAGGAACTGGAGTATAATCTGTTGAGAATGACCTTCAATTCACGGTTTGATAGGAATGATTGCATTAGGTCGAACAATCGACCCATAATACCATAACCCTGGAGCTTGCGAAGAAGGCCGGCATGCCAAATCCTATCAAATGCTTTGGAGATGTCTAGGGCCACGGCACGAGCTTCCCCGTTATTTTGAAGAGCTTGGTAGACAGTTTCAGTGATGGCTGTAAGCACATCAGCTGTAGATCGGGCAAAGCGGAAGCCCTATTGCTTGTCTGAGAGCAGATCATGGGATATAAGGTGGTTAACCACTTTGGCATTGATTAGGGCTTTGAAGACTTTGCCGAAGAGGGGTAGTAGACTGATAGGATGGTAATTAGAAGGGTCAGAGGGGTTGCCAGAGTTCTTAAAGATAGAAACAATCGAATAGGACTTCCAGCTGTCAGGAAAACAAGATTCCTTGAGGCAGTAGTTATATAGTTTAGAGAGGGCGGGCGCCAGTTCAGGCACACATTTATTCAAGACAGTGGCTGGTATGCCATCTCCACCACTAGCCTTGTTGGGGTCTAAATTGGAGATAATGCCCAATATCAAAGACGGGGTTATGTGTAAGCCACTCAATAGGGCCTCAGTTCTAAGAGGGAACTCTGGTATGGGAACACAGGAAGAGTTGAGCATTGAGTTGAATGAAAATTTCTGAGCAAAGCATTCAGCCTTGTCAGCAGAGGGGGTCATGACTTCAAACTGGTTGAACAAAGGAGGTATAGAGGGTTTGCTATTGTTCAGTACGCTCTTGCAGAGATGCCAATAATCTTTGGTGCCAAATTTGCAAGATGCAATACGCTCCTTCATCCGAGCAGCAAATAGTGACTTAGCATCGTTGAGGACACGCTTACACTTGTTACGGGTGGAGGCAGTCTGATATGTCGCTATGAAATAGGTGAAAGTAGTGGTTCCTATGGGCAATGGTGACTGAGCAAGCAGCGGAGAACCAAGGGGAGGAGCGCGACTTGATCCTATATTTCCTTGAGGGGATGAAAGCGTCAATTCCAGCTTTAACCCAGGATGAGACCGCAGAAGCACATTCTTGGACAGGGAGCATAAAGACAACATCCCAGGGGACATCGCGGAGGAAATCACGGAATGAGTCCCAGTCAGCTCGTTGATAGTAGAACGAAGTTCTAGTGGTAGGAGGTTCTTTGCAGGGGGTGAAGTTGAAGGAGATGTTAACAGATATATAGAAATTTCTATCTTCCCTCATGATGATCATTACTACCATATTTAATGGCACAGAGGACACAACCTTTTTATTTCTTCCCTCCTAAAAATAACTCAAAAATAACATCCAGGTCTTTTATAAGATGTCAAGCTATTTGGTAGGCTAATGTTTACCCAGACATTGTTAAACACCAGTATCTGGCTTCATTATCTAATAATTTAATATAAAATGTAAAAAATACCATAGCTAACCTGCTAATTAAATAAATATGAACATAAAATTATGTCATATAAGTCTGTCTCTTTATATCTCTTTTCTCTCTCTCTCTATATATATATATATATATATATATATATATATATATATATATATATATATATATATTATGCAAAGGCACTGCTAATGATTTATTATCCAGTAATTACACCTTATTATGATATGTTTATAACTGTGCTTAGAAAATACAAATATTGCATAGAAAATGTTACTGAGTTTATATATATATATATATATATATATATATATATATATATATATGTGTGTGTGTGTGTGTGTGTGAATATGCAGTAATATTAGAGAAACTCTTTCATAAAAAAATGCCCTGTATAACCATTTGATCAGATTTTGTGAAGTGCTTTTGGCTGAAAACTTTTCAGCATGTCATAAGATTTGAATAGATAAATGTATTATCTTTTATACCTACCTTACTGCTATCATCATCATCATCATCATTATTATTATATGCAATTTCTATCAAATATCATGATAATCAATGTTGTCATCATCACAAACATATTTGTAACCTATCTGGTCTGATTATGACAGTAATGTCTCAGTTTAATTTAACGTAAAGACCAATAATGAAACTGTTTCCCAAACCTTATCATCTGTAAGTGACAACATTTTGATCTTTCTCTGTTGTAGTAAAATCATCAGGAGTAATTATCATACATGTCAGAATTGGCAACATTTTCATCATGGCAGTGATTATATACTTTTCATTATTATGTTGAGAATTAGAAACATCCTCAGTTGTATTATATTTATCACCGACAAACAAATCATTAGGATATTAGCCACTTGGCTTATTCATTCTTTTATAGCTTGTATTTTTCTTGTTTTATATTAGTCTTTTTTTATCATCATTCTGGTCAGCTACACTAGCAGAAACATTTTTATACTATCTTACATCATCATCACAGAAATGGGATTGACATGATTATCATCTTCTGGATTCTCCTCGTCATGTTATTATTATGCATTGTTTTATCATCATCTTCAAATAGCATGTTAAACTCATCCTCATAATTGTAGATGCCAAGTATTTAATTATCATTATCCTTGGTAGTATTGCTACTTTCCATTGTTTAACAAACATCAAGCCCATCATCATCACGTGTCTCTTGACTCACAAACATCACTCCCATCATCATCATCATCACTTGACTCACAAACGTCGATCCCATCATCATCATCACTTGACTCACAAACATCACTCCCATCATCATCATCACTTGACTCACAAACATCTTTCCCATCAACATCATCTCTTGTATTCCAAATAAGTCTCTCATCCTCATCACTTGTCTCAGCAATAACTTTCTTGCCAACATCATTTCACAAATAACTTTTCAAACATCATCCATTGTCTAAAAAACATTTTATCATCATCATCAGCATCATCATCTTGCTCTCACTCACAAACATCCTTCTGATCATTATTCATTGTCTTGCAGATTCATGATGAACCAGTGTTTCACAAATACCTTCCCTATTATCATCTTTTGACTGACAAACAACCTTTCTCATCATCACGTGTCTTGCAAACGTCTTTCCCATCATCATCACATGTCTCGCAAACGTTTTTCCCATCATCATCACGTGTCTTGTAAATATCTTTCCCATCATCATCACGTGTCTTGCAAACATCTTTCTCATCATCATCACGTGTTTCGCAAACGTCTTTCCCATCATCATCATGTGTCTAGCAAACGTCTTTCCCATCATCATCACGTGTCTTGTAAACGTCTTTCCCATCATCATCATGTGTCTCGCAAACGTCTTTCCCATCATCATTACGTGTCTTGTAAATGTCATTCCCATCATCATCACGTGTCTTGTAAACGTCTTTCCCATCATCATTACATGTCTCGCAAAAGTCTTTCCCATCATCATTACGTGTCTCACAAACGTCTTTCCCATCATCATTACGTGTCTCGCAAACATCTTTTCCATCATCATTACGTATCTCGCAAACGTCTTTCTCATCATCATCACGTGTCTCATAAACTTCTTTCCCATTACTATGTCCTGTTTGGAAAATATCTTTCCTATCAAAATTCATAGTCTCACAAACATCTTCACCATCCCTAAGCACCTAACTATTTTCTTCTTCATAATCATCACTAATGTAAATCATTTGCATAAAACTCCAATTTTTTGAGCATTCTGAACCTACAAGATCAACAACACCTTTTTTATTTCCATCCTAAAATTCTCATCAGTTTCTCCAACATTTGAATATTTTTCTGTTCACTCATGATTGGTGATCTCATTGTTATTTTTTCTATTGTATGAAAACCTAAAGCAAATATACTCTTCTCCACCTGCCACAGATTTCTTGCTGACTTGTTAAGAAATTCAATTTTTTTTATATATTTTGTAAAACGATAAATATGGACTCAATATAGCTCATAACCAAAATCTAAAAAAAAACTGAATTATATTATAAAATAAAAATGTTTCTCAAGTCAATTTTGAATAGAAATATGACTGACAAATTCCATCCATCAAATTTAATGCACAACCTTTCAACCAAAGAGGTCAGATTAATGCAAATTATAGCTAGAATTTCCAGTTTATTAATATTTACTGCAATCATCATTTCTGACTATTATTAGACAGTAAAGAAAAAAGAGAAAAAATCTTAGAAATATTTATACAAGTTTATTTTTATGAAATGTGTCTTAGTGGTTTAAGAGATTTACTAGTAAAAGACACAAAAAGAGTTTTAGTTTTAGTTAAAGCAGAGATAAAATTCAACAATTATTTAACATTATGAAAACCTAGATTTATTTCTGAGATTTTATTTAACTAAAAACATGAGAATGCACATAATAATCACCTATATCAGCTCTAAGAAACAAAGCTGGAAAGTGTCATAGTAGATTTCACACAAATATAGTCTGATCAGCCATGATGTTAGTAATCTTGCACTCTATTAGTCAAAGCCTTGTGTCAGACAAAGCCAAATAAATACTTTTTTTTCTCAACCCCCAAACATGTTGCATCTTTTGTATAGACTGGAATTTCCTACTTTCCTTATAAAGTAGTTGCTGCTTATCTGTAGGCAGGAGTGTTCAAAGACTCCTTCCCCATTAAGGGTCTGAAAGAATAGACAGTCTTTTTCTTTTATGTGCCATGTCCCTTCAGGATGTAGGCAATCATGGCTCTCCACTTTGCCCTGTCGTTTGTAGTTCTCAATATGGTTTGTTCTTTTGCTACTGCTCTCAAACCCTGTTCTGTCATCCACTTGCTTAAGCCTACCAGGTATGTCACACATTATTTCCCTTGTCTCTTTTTTCCTCTATCTGCCCTGTCAGTATCAGATTCTCCAAGCCCTCCTTTCTCATTACATGTCCCAGAAATTTCATCTACCTCTTCCTGAAGTATAAGCCTCCTCCTTGTTTGCATCCTCTTCAAAACTTCATCATTGCTCACATGATATCCTTAGCATCCTTCTGTAGAACCATACCTACATTGTTTCGAGTCTCTTCTTCATATTTGGGGAGACCATTCAACATTCACTACCATAAAAGATGACAGATATCATGGTTCAGTACGCTTTTCTTTGTTACCAACGAAATCCTCCTGTCTCATAATTCTGCCTAGCTTTTGGAATATGTCTTTGGCCATCCCAATACATCTTCAGATGTCAGCGTCGTACTTACCATCCTCGGTCAGAACACTTCTCAAATATTTAAATTTCTGTACCTGCTTGATTTGAGTATCCCCAATCTGTTATTTCACATTTCAGGCTCATCTTTTAAGCTGATGACTGTGCATTCTGTGTTTTTTGTAATTTATGCTTACTTCTTTCTTCTCACACTTCTTTGTTACCTTCTGTAGAAGGTTTTGTGGTTTCCTCCCCATGTCTGCTATCAGTAGTATGTCATTACTGAATTTAGTGAAGAGATTCTGAAAAGTTTTGAATCAAACAAAAAGGGATTTTTTTAAAAAATTCTTACATCTAATTATTTGATCAGATTTTTGAAAGTGTGGAGGATTGAGAACTTTTCAGTATTCCACATATATAATTATATATAGCATAATAAGATACTGACATATGTAAAATTATATAATTTATTATATGTTTAGGTAATTTTATATATTTACTGAATTCATTTTTTTCTCTATATTCAGGCTGTTTGCTCCCAATATAAGTTCTGTATTATTCTAATATCCTTCATTATTGATGAAGTGGTATAAAACAAGGATGTGTCTTCTCACTGGACTTATTCAACCTTTACAGTGAGGTGATCTTGAGAAAATTAGGAGTCCTAGCAGAATTCATTATTGGTGGCCATAATCATATATCTCATAATATCTACATTAGATATACAGATGACACAGATATATAGATAGCAGATATAGAAAGATACATTAACTCTGACAAAGTATAGTAAAAGAAAATGAGAAGGACTAAGCATCAAATGTAAAAAGAGAGAATGTATGGTTGTCAGCAAAAGGAACTGCCCAACATGTAAACTATGAATTAGAAACAACAAAATCAAACAAGTACAAAAATTATATAACTAGGAAGTGTTTTAACAGAGGATGGAAAGTGCAACTTTGAAATCCAAAGGTATACTGGGATAGTGAAAGATGCCTTACAAAAGCAAAGCAAAGTATTAAGAAATAGAAAGATTTTTTTAGAAATGAAAAAAGAGTACTTAACTGTAATGCAATATCAGTCCTCTTATATGACAGAGAATGCTGGACAATCTCATCATAGGTGAAGGAGGGAATTGAGACAACAGAAATATGGTTCTACAGATGGCTGCTGAGAATACCATGGATTGTTAGCAATAACAAAGTTTTAAAGAAAATGGAAGCACAAAAGGACACCTATACTGAGTATCAGAAAAAGAAATAATTGAAATTTCTAGGGCACATAATGAGGAAAGAGGCTTTAGAAAATTTAGCACTCACAGAACATATAAAAGAAAAAGAGTTTACAGAGGAAGGCAGCATAATGCCAAAATCTTAAAAATTTTTACACAATTTTATGTCTTCAACTACAGATATTTTGTACATAGTTTTATAATTTCAGGGTAAAGATATGTTTTTTTAGATATATATTTTGTATATCATAAAATGTATTGTTCGTAATTTTACTATAAAAATGCATTGTTGGTCATTTTATTATAAAAATGTACTGTTGATTTTTATTTGGGGATTCACAATTTGTCCATAGCTGAGACCCTAACTGAACCTATTATTTCATCCACTGGGGGTAGATTGTTCTAGTTCCATGTGCCATGCCAGTTACAGATGTCTCAGTTATCTCCCTTTAACCCAACTATCCAGTTTTGTTCACCACTGCAGAAGCCAGGTATTGAACTCCCAACTCTTTGGGTCAAGTCACTGGATCCAACCAATGCTTTTATGCACTGGGCCATGTGTCCTTGCTCAGGATATAGCTTTAAATATTTCAAAGGTATTTGACAGGGTTTGACATGCTAGACTTCTTCACAAGTTGAAGGGCTATGGTGTCTCTGGCCAAATATTCAACTTGATCCAATCTTTCTTAACACATTATCTAATGAAAGCTGCATACTGAATGGCCACACTTCTAGATCCTTTCACATTAACGTGCCCCCCCCCCATGTCTCTATCCTTGGACCTACATTGTTTCTTAGTTTCATGAACAGCCTTCCCAATGTCATCAGTTTCCAACTGAATTTTGCTGATTTTTTTTACTCCTGTCTTAATAGTAAGTCTGATCAGTTCAACAAAGTAAAGCTAGTAGCTGATCTTGATAATGACTTGAAAATGACCTCCACTGTTAACTGGAGCAAGAAATGGCTTGTAAAAGTTATGTCTCCAAAATGAAATTGCTATCTTTTAATCATCAAAGACAACTATTTTTGCCTTTCTTCAGCATGGCTGATGCTAACCTTCATGAGAGTAACTCTTTGTGCTTTCTTGGTTTTACTGATATGAAGTGGAATGATTATATTGAACTGATTGCTTGGTCTTCTGCTAGGAAAGTTTGTGTGACATGCCAGACAATTCTTGTTGGAATCCTTCTTACATGTTTATAAATCTACCATTAATCTGTGCATTGCATATTGTTGCCATATTTGGTTTGGGGCCCCCTGCTATATATCTTGAGGTTCTCAACAAAATCCCCCAAAAAGTTTGTAATTTTATCAGACCTGAAATAACATATCAAGTACAGTCACTTCCTCACAGCCATGACATGGCTTCTTTGTGCCTTTTCTCTATATATTTTCATTGTAATTATTCTAGTGAGCTTTCATCCCTGGTACTTTGACTGCACAAATTTAACCAGATTACTAAATTGGCACTTAGGTCTTATTTTATTTTCAAAAAAGCTAAATATAAACATAAGTTCTATTTTAATAGTTTCTTCTCTTGTACTTCTCTCTTGTGAAACTCTTCTGGTTTATTATTTCTTTGCCACCTAAAATCTTCAAAACTTTAAATGCACCATCAATTGCTATATTCTGTCTTTTATTGTCCTTTTTCTTCAGTAAAGTCTTCCCATTTTCTTTCACTCTCAGTAACCCCATGTGTCTTAGTGGCATTATTGCCTTGCTTAGGGTGAAAGGATTAAAAATCATATATATATATATAGATGTGTATTTGGGCAGCAACCTTTCTTTCATGCATCTTTCATTGAAAATGGCTGACATGGATATATATCTTTGTTGGCCATTTTCAATAATAGGGTTGTCCCTTGTTATATAAAACTCATGGGATTGGCAGTTGTAAATCTAGAACATATAGTTATTGTATATAATAAGTATTTATAAAATAAAATATATATTCCTCTGTAGGTCCTGAAGAGTGAAGCTTTGCAAAATGATCTTCAAAAATATGAATATATAAGTACATCAAAAATATTGAAATTTCATATTTTTGAATATATATATATATATATATATATATATATATATATATATATATATTTCCTATCAACACATAGCAATCTAAAGTTTAATTTATAAATTAGGTACCATAAGTGATTAACAATCATATCTAATAATAAAACATAAAAATATATATAGTCAAATTATATGGTGGATATATCTTAGC